CCGCTGAGCAGGGAGCCCGATGTGGGGCTCGATCCCAGGACCCTGAGATCATGACCTGAGCCGAAGGCAGACGCTTAACGACTGAGCCACCCAGGCACCCAGTATAATCCATTCTTTAGAACGAAGCAGAGAAGCAAAAAAACTTTCCTTTCTAAATAAACAAATGCCATCAAAGTTGTAAAATATGCTGACAATCATTTTATAAAAATAAATATTGGGGATTAAAACCAGATACATTCTGAGGAAAGTAGTAAAAAAAAAACCTTATAATTAATTTTTCCTGAAGTAAAATTCCATTTATGAACAATATTTTTTCAATATGGGAATTTTACTATCTATACCACTTCTTATAAAGCACATGCCCATGTTGTATCAGAACTTTTGATCTAGGGCGACTGGGTGGCTCAGTTGGTTAAGCGACTGCCTTCGGCTCAGGTCATGATCATGGAGTCACAGGATCGAGTCCCGCATCGGGCTCCCTGCTCGGCGGGGAGTCTGCTTCTCCCTCTGACCCTTCCCCCTCTCATGCTCTCTGTCTCTCATTCTCTCTCTCTCAAATAAATAAATAAAAAATAAATAAAGTAAAATAAAAAAAAGAACTTTTGATCTAATAAATAAGAGATGAGTCTTATAGACAACTAATAAGAAAATGAAAACATATGACAAAGTCACAGGAACCTCATATTATATGAGACAAAATTATAAAATGATGCAATTATTAATAAGCTAAGAATTGAGACTTTATTGTAGGCTGTGGGTTCTAAAAGTTCTAAATCCCCTATAACATTAATTTATGTAGTAAATCTAGGAAACAAATAGAGACATTACATTATTTCACCACCAAGGAATGGAAAACATGGAGGGAAAATTTCTTCTAGTTAATACAAAGAAAATGAATGTTTAAGGTGAAATAAAGGATTTTATTTTCTCATTTTAGGGAAGTGTTTTGTTACCTGATGAAATTACTGAGTCTCAATTTTGTACGTTTAAGATTAAAGCCTCCATAACATTGGAAAGCATAAACCAGAAAACATGTGACATCTGTCTCCAGTGTTCCGGGGGTTTCTGCACCAATCCCCAGTATGCCCACCACAACTCTGGCACACTTTCTCACATGAAGCAAAACAGAACTTAGAAGAGGCTTAGCACAGAGACCCTCAGAAATAGGGAGATTTCCCTAAGGCCCTCAAAGCAATGGAAAATCTCTCAGACTATGGAGGCTCTCCCACTCCAAGGGGAGTCTCCAGGCCCCCCCTGTGGATGTGATGGACCATCACTGGAGCTGAAGGAGACCCTTAGAGAATATAAAAGCATGATAATGTTGGCTAGCAGATGTCCCTCTGTGAGAGACAGTGACATGAAACTGGACTGCTCCAACTGATTTTCATTCAAGGAGAGCTACTTGAACCACATTTTAAGGTCTGTCTTCATCATTCACATTTGGACCTCACCTCTGTCATCTGCTTCATTCATTCCCACCTATCTGGATGAAAGGCTACTGTCTTCTTTCTCTTCGCGTCCCAAGGGTCCTTCTTTTGCTCCAAAAAGGAGACCAAATCAGGCTTTGACACAATGAGACCTGGTTAATAGAAAAATGGAATATAACTATTGCTGGAGATTCTTTCAATCCACCATTGTGCTCAGTAGAGAAGAGAGAACATTGCAGAATTCTAAAAGATGATTTCCCATCCCAGACACTGTTGACCAACAGCCCCTTCAGAACATGCAGGAGTTTCAAATATTCACATCCTAACTTGCACTTCCAAGTACTACCGATACAATGGTAAGGACGAAAAATTGGAGTTTAAATGTGGGCAGCACCATTTTATGCCCCTCAATATTTAGAATTGCCACTAATCTACAGAAATGATGTTACCTTAAGGAAGGGGAAGCTAAAGCTGAAATGCAAACATCAGGAAGATTTTTGTCTACATCTACAAACCCTTACTTTTGTTCCTTAGTGCAGTGATCTGAATTCCAGTTGTGCAAAGAATCATCATCCAAGAGACAGTCTTCAAAGGAAGGAACAAAACCCTGAGTGTGGTCTGGGAAATCTGGAAGGAAGTTATCCTCACCCAAGAAGAGAAGGTTTCCATAGTTCTCTAACATCACATCCCTGTACGATTCCCGCTGAGTGTGGTTCAGGCATCCCCACTCCTCCTGGGAGAATTCGATGGCCACATCCCTGAATGTCAGCAGTCCCTGCAATAAATACCACAGTGACCAAGTGGCCACTGGCAGAGTTCACAATGCTCCCTAAGATGAAAGAGGGTGTTAATGTCACCAGCTAGACTCCCCAACACCTGGCCTTCACTGCCTGATTGTACCCACCAAACTGTATTACACATTTGACTTAACCTCTTCTTTTCACCTTATCCTTACTTTAGCCAAAACACCCCACTGGCAGAGTCTCCTGTGGTGAAAGCAGAAACTATCCAATAAAAGGTAATGACTGCTCAGGGGAAGCACTTGGGCTGGCCCAGTTTGAGGCAGAGGGACCAAGGTGTAACCCATGGAGTGGTCTACAGTTACCTTTACCTCATTATAATACTAAAATTCTCCACCCACGGAGAATCACAAACCTCATTTACCTAATGTACAAAGGGAATCAGGTTTTAACCCAGTTATTGGTCCCAGAGTTGATTGAAAAGGACACACAGGTCAATATACAGAGAGGACTCTAAACCGATGTTCATAGCAGGTGTCAAACATGACAAGAATGATGGAAACAAAAAGGTTATCCATGCAAAATTGATCTTTTTACATTTCATGCACCCATCCAGACATTTAGGAAGTAGTTATATACACATTAAAAGTGACAGAGTAGAAAGTTGTCATGGTGATTAATTCAAGAACCATTTTCAGTGACATGACACTTATAAATCAAGTTGTGGATGATGATGCTTCTTTTATTCACACTATCAACACAAACACATAGAATGATACAGATAAAACAGCTATTATTTATGAGTCTAGTATGATGAGGGATACAAGCAGAAAAATGTTTACCTTTAAATCAGAAGGCTGGGGACAGCTGGGTGGCTCAGTCCGTTGGGTGTCTGCCTTTGGCTCAGGTCATGATCCCAGGTTCCTGGAATCGAGTCCCTCATCGGGCTCCTTGCTCAGTGGGGAGCCTGCTTCTCCCCCTGCCTGTGTTCTCTCTCTTTCTCTCTGACAAATAAATAAATAAAATCTTTAAAAAATAAAAAATAAATCAGAAGGCTGACCCATAGGCTGTATAGCTCTGCTAAGAATCAAATATATACTACTTGCTACATTCTTAAAGGTTCTCTCGACTGCCTGTTTATCTCACCAATGTTTATATTGAACTGAAAGATAGCAGAGCAATCTTGCAGAAGTAGTTTTACAAGTACAAATTCAAAGCAACATTTCTGATCTAATACTCTGGGCACCTACCCTCCCCCTTGAACACTAAGCATGTAACCACGAGCTTCATGCAGCCAATGTGCAACTCTTTCTGCCCATGGATCCTGTCCCTGTGCTACTTCAATAAACCTACTATCTGGCACCATACAACATCTCAAGAATTCTTTCTTGACCATCATGCTCAAAGATCCCACAACATAGTATTTCATTGAACGCTTTTGTTTCAATCATCATCTGCGATATATTTCAGGATTTTAAGACATTCAAACATGTTAATTATATGATTCTTGTTTTCTTCTGAAATACAAAGGAGGAAATAGGGCGCCTGGGTGGCACAATGGGTTAAACATCTTCCTCTTGATTTTGGCTCAGGTCATGGTCTCAGGGTCCTGGGATCACTCAGCACAGAGTCTGCTTGAAATTCTTTCCCTCCCCCTCTACCCTGGATCACCCATCCCTCTCTCTCTCTCACACACACTATTTCTCTCACTCTCTAAAATAAATAAATAAAATCTTTTTTTTTTTTTTAAATAAAGAGTATGTCTATGACATGAATGTGGAATAAAGTAAAAACTCACAGGATGGAGGTCTGACTGATTTAGATCCTCCACTCCCAGAAGTCAATACTATCAACTACACGAAGGTGAGAGTCTTCATTTCTGCAGTGGAAACTGATGTGAGGTGGGTTGGGAGCAAATAGTCAAGAAAGTATTCTTGAGGGGCGCCTGGGTGGCTCAGATGGTTAAGCGTCTGCCTTTGGCTTAGGTCACGGTCCCAGGGTCCTGGGATCAAGCCCCACATCCGGCTCCCTGCTCCGCAGGAAGCCTGTTCTCCCTCTCCCACTCCCCCTGCTTGTGTTCCCTCTCTCGCTGTGTCTCTCTCTGTCAAAAAAAATAAATAAAATCTTAAAAAAAAAAAAGTATTCTTGAGACATTTTTGGTGAAAAAAAAAATCTGTTTTTATTTAAACCTCAGGGACAGGACCCGTTGGCAGAAAGAGCTGCAGTGTGATTTTGGGAAGGTACTGATTATATGCTTTTCAGTTAGGGGGGATAGAGATAAAAGAAGTTTCTAAAGGGGTTTTCATATGTTGAAGAGGACTTACAGGATCCTGGAGGCCTGGCTATTGTCAAACTAAGGTTCCTTTTGCCTCTAGCAAAGCATTACACTAAGGCACTTGTGAATTCCTTGAGGAAAGTCATACTTTGCATGTCTCAAGTATTTATTTGTGGGCTGCAAGTTGTAAGGACATTTCATTTTTCTCTAAATTTTTTTTTTTTGCTTTGTTCTCCTGATCAGAAACTACAAGCAAAGAAAAACTCAGAAGAAAGAAGATTCCAGGTGAAATGTGATGGTTTCTGCACATCACTCAGTAAATCCATCGAAGACCCTTATGAATATAAGAAGGAAAATATGAGCATTACAGGGGAGCTATCTGGCTATTAAGCCATTAAAAGAAGTTAACATCAGCTGTAATGAAACAAGTTACCAGTGCTTAACGCACACTGAAGGACCTATTACTATTGGAGTTGAGTAAGGGACAGGTGGGGCTAGGCAGGGATTGATAGGTAGGGGGCTAAGTGACCAGGCTCACGAAAAATCCCAGGAATGAGGAGGCATAAGGAAACCAGAGATAAGGGAACAGAACCAGACCACCTTGTTTGTTTTAAACATCAGAGATGAGATATTCAAAGGAGACGTAATCCTGGTGTTATCCTTGGTGATTTAAGTTCCCTGGTCAGTTTCCGATAAAAGACCAACCATAAAAGCGCTCTGTGGCAACCCATTCGGGACCCCCTCACTCTGGAAAGCTTTCTTTCTGTTCTCACCCTCACTTGCTAAACTACCACTTTACCCTCTTGTGTCTGAGATTCATTCTTCCGTTCTGCCAGACAAGAACCCTGCAACAGTGTGTTCTTTGTAGAGGCCACTTTTAGGCAAACAGGCTTGAGCGCTGGAATGGGGAAAGGGCCAGTGACTATCTGCCTGAACACGGACAGGCCCATCAGGCCACCCACCCCGAAACATCCATAGGCCCTAACTAACCAATGGGCTACTTACAACCGGGTTCAGTTCCCAAAAAAGGAAAGATTCCATCTGTCCCCATACCTCCTCATCTTCCCCCTTTAAAAATAGGCCCCACCCACTAACTTCTTGCAGACAGCCTCTCTTCTAGTGTCCTGTCCCCACTCCCTTGCTGTGTATTCAATGAACTTCTAGCTCCTTTGTTCTGCCTCAGGCATATTCTCTTACTTCTGCAACCGGCCCACACCTGATCATCACCCTACATTTGAGGGCCCCCATCCGATCAAGAGATACCACATTCTTGTAGCCCCTAAACAGTAAATCAGAATGTCAATTAACTTAGGAGAATACAGTTGATTTATGCAAACTTCAATCACCTATACTTTCCCTGTCCTGTGATATCTAGGATATTTTAGATACAGTACCTTTCCCACAGTCTAAAGGGTATGACCCTGGCCCTTTTTTTTTCAGAGAATATTCCAAGTTATTCTGGGTTTCATATCCACTGTTTATTTGTGCATTTTCTTACTCCTAGTCTACATAGAGCTGATAAAGCTTCCAGATGGGACCTAAATAAGACCATCCTCCTTCACTGATATCGCAGGACCAGACCCTTTTCAGCAATAGGAATCTTTAACTCCACACCTTCCCCGTGGATCTGTCACCAAGGGAGTATTTTCAATACTGGTGGGCAGGTCTTTCATTCATTGTGACAACTGTTGATGGCCTACTGGAAGCCAGGTTGGAGAGAAGGGATAGAAGTCTCTGGCTTCTAGAGAAGAAGTGTTCTAAAGACCTAATCTTGAGTATCATTTCTGAAAAGGTTTAAAAAATTAGGTGTAAACATAAAGCAGAAACATCAGAACTAGAAAAATCCGTATTTGCAATTTCTAAATGTGACGAATTTCAGGAGAAAAAGATGACAGGGCCTCTGAACTCAGGAACAAAGCTTACCTGAGAACTGGCCATTTCTTCTTTCACTTCCTCCTTTGGAGTTCTTCCTCAGAAGAGAGTCCAGGAGAAATCACAGCTGCATCAGGAGAAAATGCTTTTAAAGCCACCAACAGAGCCTCTTCACCTGTAAACTGCTCGCCTGCAGGTAGGATTTGGAAATGCAGAAAAGGCCAAATTTCCTAGCCTTTTGTGTCAGGAGCTATTCAGAAACAATGAATTCCTCCTTGGAGACCAATCTTTGAATTTTTCCTTCTCTGCTTTCAGGGCGCCTCCCCAACCAGACACACACAACTTCTGCTGGAGCAGAAAGAAAGAAGAAAAGTGTGACGCATGGACCTGAAGCTTCCAGATTCACGTACAGGAGACCATGTTACTCCTCCTTGAGCCAAAGCCTACACTCAGATGTCTTCTATTCATGGGAAGCCCTCCAATTAACCCTGGCTGCACCTAGAATCACCTGGAGCATTTAATTAAAACAACACTGTTGTTCCCACCCACACGGCTTGACAGAATCTGGGCTGGGGGGCACCGGATATGATCCTTTCTTGAAACTCCACACCTGATCCTATTGGGAAGCATTTGGGAAGGTGACCAGGCAAAAAGCAATAATCGAGGCCATGTTTGATATTCCGATTTAATCCATGCCTTGTCCACTGATCAGAGTTTCTGGAGATTTACACTTTCTCCCTCTTTCTGCTACACAGAGGGAGACAGTCTTACAAATGGAGTTTTCCCTTGGAAATGCCAATGTCTCTTACAAAATAACCAGACTAGGTTTCAGAGCTTTATCTTTGCTGTTTCCTTTTTTTTTTTTTAAGTTTTTATTTACTTATTTGAGAGAGAGAAAACACAAGGAGGGGGAGTAGCAGAGGGAGAGGGAGAAGCTGACTCCCCACTGAGCATGGAACCCATTGCGGGTTCGGTCCTGAGCCAAAGACAGGCGCTTAAGCGACTGACCCACCCAGGCACTCCTGTCTGCTCTTTCTCTAAAATACCCAGCCTAGGGGCACCTGGGTGGCTCAGTGGGTTGGGCGGCTGCCTTGGGCTCAGGTCATGATCCCGGAGTCCCCGGATTGAGTCCCGCGTCGGGCTCCCTGCTCAGTGGGGAGTCTGCTTCTTCCTCTGAAGCTCTCCCTTCTCATGTTCTCTCTCACTCTCTCTCTCAAATAAATAAAATCTTTAAAGGAAAAAAAAAAAACCCAGCCTAAAATAATCCTTATGCTAAAGAGACATATTTTGGGGTGACAAAATGTGCTCCTTCAGTAGGTAAATATTTTTTTTTTTTTTTTTTTTTTTTGACAGTGAGACACAGAGAGAGAGAGAACACAAGCAGGGGGAGTGGGAGAGGGAGAAGCAGGCTTCCCGCTGAGCAGGGAGCCGGATGCGGGGCTCGATCCCAGGATCCTGGGATCATGACCCGAGTGGAAGGCAGATGCTTAATGACTGAGCCACTCAGGCGCCCCGGTAAATATTTATTTTCATAACTACCTGCAACACAGTTTTCCAAAGTGAAGGTACATTTTTTGATTCCATCAGCCATATATGAGAATTCTAATTCCTCAACACTCTCTCTGAAATTTGGTGTTAACCTTTTTATTTTATCCATTCTAGAAAATATTGAGTGGTTTCTCATGGTAAAATATGAAGTGATGTTCCTACAGTTGTCCTGGTGACTATTTGAAACCGCTTAAAAACATAAAGTTGAACAAAAATCAAAATGGCTACATTAAAACATCAGCAAGCCTTGATATTAAACGAAGGATCCTTTTTCCTCTCTTCTGCAACCCTCCGCTCCCCACTTTAGCCTTTTGTTTCGGGCACCTGGTTCCACCCTGAAAACGTGATGAACAAAGCACGCAGCAGAGACGCACTTCCCGGTGAAACCAGCTAGATCCTGTAGGTATTTCCCTACCAAAATCCCACCCCTGCCTCTGGGGGCCCTTGCGGTTTTGAAGGCCCTGACCCGCTGCAGCCTCTCTTGCAGGCAAAGCAATAAAGCAATTGTTGCTCTTTATCCCCAACTCTTCACGTTCTATTTTGGCTCGGAAGCACGGAGGTCAGCGTCACAAAAGAATGAGATCCTTCCACTTGCAGTAACAGGATCAACCTGGAGGACCTTTTTTAAAGTTGCTTTGAAGCCATGCCAATGCCCTTCCAACTTAGTAGTCTTCAAATTTTAGCAAGCACCGTTAGCCTGTGTTATTGATTAATCAAATCTTCCTTTTGTATATCTATAGATCATGCATTTTTTACTTAGAAAGCCTTGGGACTGGGCGCCTGGGTGGCTCAGTTGGTTAAGCGACTGCCTTCAGCTCAGGTCATGATCCTGGAGTCCCAGGATCGAGTCCCGCATCGGGCTCCCT